TTATAAATCTCATGGCTTCACATGTGCGAAATTATTGTTTGTCAGCAATTCGTAGAAACAAATACTATGATATTCTGTTTGATTCCACACCTGATTTAGCCCATTGTGAGCAATTGGCCCAAGTGATTCGGTTTGTTGACATTGACTTTAAGACAAAAAAAAAGTAGAAGTCAAAGAGTCATTTGTTGACTTTATACAGATAAAGGAAAAAGACGCTGCCAGTACTGAGAAAACAATAAGCACAAAATTAGAAGTGGATGGAATTTTATTGAGTGATTGTTGTTTACAATGTTATGATAATGCTGCTGTCACGTCAGGTCATCTGTCAGGCTTTCAACAAAGAATTCTGAACAAAAATCCAAAAGCAGTGTTTATAATTTGTGACAACCATAGTTTAAACTGAACATGTTTTCATGCTGCAAGTTAGGAAACAACAATTATTACCTTTTTTGGTATAACTGAAGCCATTTATAATTTCTTTGCTCCTTCAACAACTCGATGGGACGAACTGCAGCAGGAGCTTAAGATCTCTGTCAAGCGTGAATCAGAAACACGGTGGAGTGCAAGAGAAAAGGCAGTAAAAGTTGTACATGAAAAACTGGATGAATTGCTAGTACTATTAGAGCAATTAAGGGAGAATGGCAACACGGCTGAAACAAAATGTGGTGCTCGTAATATTCTGCAATGCATGCTTACATTTGATTTTCTTGTACTTTTGCATTTTTGGAGAAATCTTTTATCATCTATCAATCGAGTGCAGAAACGTCTTCAGGACCCAGAAATTAATTTTAGAGAAGTAGCTGTTGATCTTGATTCTTTGAAATTGATAGAATCATGTGAAAAGTCCTGTTAAGATGCACTTAAAGTGGGCAAGAATCAATGTGAAACATGGGGATTGACCATTGAAAAAATAAAAATACCTCATAAACGAATGCCGGGTGAAAATGCAACTGATGCTGGATTGACTGCTGAACAGGAAATTTATTGCATCATGAAGGATGTTATTGATCGCTTGATTACAGAAATAACAGGAAGATTTTCTCGCTTACTAGATTTAGATTCATGGTTTGGATTTCTACTAGATGTGCAATATATTGTTTCCGGAGATTTCGAAGACGGGAAATTGCAAGAAAAATGTTCTGACTTAGCAAATAGCTATCCAGATGATATTGATGGACCAGAATTGTACAAAGAAATTAAAGACTGTAGAATGTTGATAAGTAAAAGAACACAAACTGATTTTCCTGAACCAATGGTTGCAACTGATATAATTTTCATAAATTTATATAAAAGTCACAAACTTTGGTGTGATACTACTATTTTTTTGGTGATCATAATGTAATGTCTATATATATATAAAAGCCACTTTTTCATTTTGTGTGCATGTAATGCTCATATTATGAGTAATTTTTATTTTAAGTTTGCACCATTCTTATTGATTTTTTGAGTGTACTTGAAAAATGTTTTTATTTTTTCAATGTATGGTGGTTGTTTTATTTATGATGAAGGGGGAAGTCTGATGAACAAAGCTTGCTGAAGGAAGGGTGTGGGCCCCTGTGTTTTTTTACTAAACTCCAACCTGTCATTTTTGACAGGTCAAACAAGTCTAGTAAAAAATAGCTAAAAGTGGTTTATTTTATTAAGTAAGTGGAAGAAAGCATTTAATATGCATAGTTAATGATGTAATTATTTCCTCACTGTAACACTGAGCCTTCATTCAAGGGTTCACTTTTGCTGAGAATTTAATAAATTTTCAATACTGTTATTTCCTTTTGTTGTTAATTTTAAATTTACACACAGAAAAATAATTCAAGAACATTGTATTGAACATACTTTGAAGGTATTTCTTACTAACAAAAATTGGCATAGATTAGCCATGCTAATTTGTTAATTGTTAATGCTGGTTTTTCTGTGACCTTATGTAAATTTTCTATTTAATCAATAACTTCTAAAAGATGCTACCTATTACTCTGTAGTTGAAAAAACATTGTGATCATAACTGTGTTTTTTCTTTTGTTCTTTAATCACTGAATTATCTTTGTTTCTATTCTGTAAATTATTTAGATTTAATATTTATAAAATTGTGTTGTTTGGTCATTGAAAAAGTTTTACTGGATCCTCAAACTTTTAGACAGAATCAACCCTTCGTCATGTTTGATAATGGTTGGAGACGGCTTGAATGGGTAATGAAGAAAAACTTTAATATAAGTTTAACATAACAGCAAATGTACAACGTTTCGACAAGGTTTTGTCATCATCAGGTACAAGTAATTT